TCAAAGGGCAGCTATGCACAGTATTTGAGTGATAGCTTGAAAACTTTTAGAACTGGGCTGTTTGGCCTTCCTTTTATTTTGCATTATGGACTCTGGCATCTGGTGAGGCCCATGAATGCTTTCTCAGAATAGCTGCTTATAAAAGCATAAAACAGGCCCGGCGTTGTGGCTCATGCCTGTAATCCCAGCACTTTGGGAGTCTGAGGCAGGTGGATCACTTGAGGTCAGGAGTTCAAGACCAGCCTGGCCAACATGGTGAAACCCCGTCTCTACTAAAAATACAAAAACTTTGCTAGATGTCTTGGCATGCGCCTGTAATCCCAGCTACTCGGGAGGCTGAGGCAGGAGAATCACTTGAACCTGGGAGATGGAGGTTTTAGTGAGCCAAGACTGTGCCACTGCATTCCAGCCTGGGAAACAGAGCAAAACCCTGTATCATAAATAAATAAATAAAGGCACAAAACAAAATGCTTAGGATTGTAATGAGAGCAATTATCAAAACTATATTTAAAAACAAATTTGGAGGTGGGGAGCACTGGCACCCAACTGATGTCCCAGCTACTTGAGAGGTTGAGGTGGGGAGTATCACTCGAGCCCAGGGGTTCAAAGCCACCCTGGACAACATAGCAGGACCCCCCCGAACTCAAAAAAAGAAAACCACAAATTTATGATATTATAATATGTGTTTATTAACATTAAGACTGGCCAAAAGTTAAATTTTCCTTTTTTAATGACCACAGTGTGTTGTCAACCAACTGTAGGGTGATTTTTGACTCACTTCCTCTTACATATTGATCAGCAAACAACTAAAGACAGGGAATGCAGAAGAGTGGAGAAGCCCTATCGAAAACAGGCAGATTCACCTTTTGGTGACTGAACCACTGCTAGGCCCGGAGGTGCCCAGTTAATGGCGGCTACATCACAGGAGCATCTGAAACAGAAGGTGCTCACATACAACTTAGCGGTGGTTTAACAACAACTGTGATTTAGAAATCATTAAGAGCATAAATATTTTGAGATATTTGCAATTTGATATGAAAATACCTGTGATTTCTATTGGTGACTAAGCCAAAAATACTGCTACTACTTCAATCCATGTAGAAGGAAATCATAAATTTTGGTTAGAGGTTAGCGAAAATAAAAATATAATTTTTTTCCCACCCAAGTTTATGGATCCCCTGAATTCTGTTTTGTTTTTTTTTTTTTTTTTTAGACGGAGTTTCACTTTTTTACTCAGGCTGGAATTCAATGGCACGATCTTGACTCACTGCAACCTCTGCCTCCCAGGTTCAACTGATTCTCCTGCCTCAGCCTCCTAAGTAGCTGGGATTACAGGTGCCCACCACTACGCCCAGCTAATTTTTGTATTTGTAGTAGAGACGGGGTTTCACCATGTTGGTCAGGCTGGTCTCAAACTCTCAACCTCACGTGATCCACCTGTCTCAGCCACCCAAAGTGCTGGAATTACAGGCGTGAGCCACCACACCCGGCAGATCCCCTGAATTCTGAACCCCAGAGTAAGAGCTTTCATCTTAGAAAAATGTCTGACACATACTAAATGTTCATTTTCATCACTGTCATCTCAGGTCAGGGGACTCCCAGGGCTTTATAATCAGATAAAATCAGTTTTGCTCAATTGCTATGTGACTTGGCCCAACTTCTACACCTTTGTTTCTTCCTCTCCGTAAGGAGATACCTAGACCTTAGAGCTGTGATAATGTTAAGTACTTTGAAATCTCTATCATGGGGTCGATATGAGTTATTATTGCTTTAATTCTGTGGGGAGGAGCTGACTGTGTCACCTACTTCAGAATTTCTGCAGCATCCCAGCCTTCAAAGCCTGTCACAACCTTACCTGTAACCCAGAGACCCAAAGTCTGAATTTCACCCATGGTTGGGCCCATGCAGTATATGTGTGTTGTCATCATTTAATAATTTCACATGCAAATTAAGAGCTCCGGCTTCTCTGAACTTGGCCAGATCTGGTGAGGCCATCCCTTCACACTTAACAGCCTCTTTCATTTTGTGAGCCAGTTGGCTTCAAATTTGCAAAATGCCCCTCCCATCTCCAGTTTTGTCCTTTGCTTTGAGTCTGTGTCCCCTGAACACTCTGAGCTGTATCCTCTTCTAATATTTTTGCCTCTTCATACAGCAGCCTCCCTGTGGCACTCCGGGAAAGCCCAATCAATTCTAAGAGAGCCTTTATCACAGTGTTCGGTAGACAGATCTTGATTTCATCAAATACCTTTCCTGAGCTGGCACCAGCGGTGAGAACCAGCCCCTTTCCTCCCTGAACCACGGCGCCTTTACTCTGTGCTCCCGGCACCTGCCAGGGCTAGGCAGTTAGGGACACAATAAATGGCAGCTTCTATTTTATTTATTTTTATTTATTTTATTTTTTTGAGATGGAGTTTTGCTCTTGTTGCTCAGGCTGGAATGCAATGACGCAATCTCAACTCACTGCAACCTCCACCTCCTGGGTTCAAGTGATTTTCTTGTCTCAGCCTCCTGAGTAGCTGGGATTACAGGTGTGCACCAACACAACTGGCTAATTTTGTATTTTTAGTAGAGACGGGGTTTCACCATGTTGGCCGGGCTGGTTTTGAACTCCTGACCTCAAGTGATCCACCCACCTGCCTGGCTGGCAGCTTCTATTTGAAAGGGTTTTGTTTCTTGACAGAGTCTTGCTCTGCTGCCCAGGCTGGAGTGTAGTAGCGCAGTCTTGGCTTACCGCAACCTTTGCCTCCCAGTTTCAAGTGATTCTCATGCCTTAGTCTCCCGAGTAGCTAGGATTACAAGTGCGCACCACCACCCCTGGCTAATTTTTGAATTTTTAGTAGAGACAGTTTTGCCATGTTGGCCAGGCTGGTCTTGAACTCCTGACCTCAAGTGATCTGACTGCCTCAGCCTCCCAAAGTGCTGAGATAACAGATGTGAGCCACTATGCCTGGCCTATTTTAAAGGCTTTATGAATATAAAGTTCTACATATTTGCTGTATACATTTCAAAGGTGATAGATTAAATGAAAGGAGGACGTGCCCTTTCTCCAGTGTGTCTCTATCATGTTCCCCAATGGTGGTCTTTGCTAAATTTGGGATATTCTTTTATTTTCTGTATCTGCAGATAGTCTACATACTATTTTGCAAATTAAACTTTTTCTTTTTCTTTTCTTTTTTTTTTTGGAGACAGGGTCTGGCTCTGTCACCCGGGCTGGAGTACAATGGCAAGACCTCAGCTCATTGCAGCCTCTGTCTCCTGGGCTCAAGCAATCCTCCCACCTCAGCCTCCCAAGTAGCTGGGACTACAGGCATGCACCACCATGCCTGGCTAATTTTTGCTTCTGTTTCGTTGGGTTTTTTTTTTGGTAGAGATGAGATTTCACATGTTGCCCAGGCTGGTCTCAAACTCCTGGGCTCAGGCAATCTGCCTGCCACAGCCTCCCAAAGAGCTGCCCCCGCCATACTTTTTCATTTAAGGGGTAATCAATACCAAATTAAATAATACAAGTAAAGTGCTTAGAGCAATGACTACTATTTTTAACGTGTCATGGACAACTTTCTGAATTGGTATATGCAGATATGCTTTTATTATTGTTCCCAGGCTGAGGGCAGGGAAGTCCCTGCAGAAACTGTCTTGAATAAATGGGTTAAATGTGCCCTCCCTCAAGGTAGATGTGGTTGATCTCACAGAAATCAAGTGGAAAAGGCATACTATGGTGAGGAGCTAATAAAGGCACCCTCCCCCTCCTTCGATAATGCTGATTGGTGGTATCCAATCATCTGCGGCAGGGATGGTGCCCGGACCAGGGTGAGGGAGGCCTGCCCAGTACCTGGTCCAGGCCTGGAACTTCTGAGCACTGCCAGCCCAGGCCTCTCCTGCCTACCCGGACCAGCCTCCTCAGTGAGTGGGGGAGGTGCTGCTCAGGCCTGATGCTGATCTCTTTTGACAGCTGCTCCTAAGGCTGGCAGGATGGTAGGCAGTGGGGGAAGGGACCAGATTTAAAGGTCCAGTTGCCCCGCCCCCCTGGCAGACCTGGGCAGAAGGCGCGGGTGAGCATCCTCTGAGGGCTTGGGTCTTGCGCATATAGAAGGTCAGAAACCCCTCTACCCTAGTTTCCACTTCTTGGTATCATGGAGACTGCTGGTCTTCACATCTGCTCCCACCCTACAGGCCACCAGGGAGACCAGTGCTGATCACCATGCGATTTCGACGCCTGACCCCTGGTTACTTCCGGGTGCTACAGGTAAGTACCCCTGATCAATGGCTTTTGGCATGACTGACCCCTTCTTCCCCCTACCATAGCTGGGTTGACACCCCCAACAGCCAAGCTGTCACGTTCCCCGCCGCCTGAGCAGCAGAGGCCCAGATGGGCAGTGAAGCGAAAGGGATTGGGGTGGAATCTCCCTGGGGCAGCACTGGCGTCCATGTCTCCTTCCCCCAGCTGCACCTACTCATCCCCTTCCCACTCCCCACCTTCCTGGAGGTCTCAACTGATCCCTCAGGCTGTGCGCCTCCAGATGCAGATAGCTGGTGAGCTGAAGGCAGAGCCCCGGAGTCCGCTGGCTGGCGTTGTGGCTACAGTGCTAGCTGTTCTCGGGCTGGGTGGCTCCTGCTATGCGGTCTGGAAGATGGTGGGGCAGCGGCGGCTGCCACGGAACCCATAACAAAGAAGACTGACTCTCACCTGGACGCTGGAGGTAGGTGACTCAGGAGGGGGCTGCAATCTCAGAAGCCTGCTTCTTTTCTGGGGATCATTCTATGTCAGAAGCAGGACAGAGTAATCTGATCCCACTCCTGCCACCCCACACTGTATCAGGGCTCCATCTGGGTGTTCCAGTTCAGATGCTAGGACCTCAGAGGGAAGGCAGGGATGCAGGTTCCAAAGATAGACCAAGTGGAGGGTAGACACCCTAGGCCTGGTGCACAGAAAGTAGTAAAGAAACCATTCCAGGGCAGGAGTTTGGGACGGTGGCCTGGAAGTTAGAGAATTGGAGGCAAGCTCTCTTTGTCCAGTTCCTTTATTGGAGGCAGGGCACCCAGAAGAGGCCATCCGCTTCACAAACCCAGCGCCAAAAGGGGCTGGCACACCCCCTCCCAGCCTAGTCCATGCGTCACTGTCCATGAGCAACTCTTTTGCCCTGCATCCTCAGGCCATGTCAGATAGAAGTGTCCATCTCAGGGACCTCGGTGGACACTTCTGTGGGCACTGCCAGCCGCCTGGGGGACACATAGGATCCCATACCCGCTGCCCTTTCCGCCTCTTCCTGACTGTAGGGCTCGACGCTCAGCTGCTTCAGCCTGGCAGAAAGAAGAATAGGAGTTGGGAGCTGACCAGGTGCGAGCCCTATCTGCCGAGCACCCATCCATCAATCCTCTCCTCACTCCTTCATACCTTTTCTTGTGGTCTTTGCATCGGAAGTGGGTCTTCAGGTTGGCGGAATCGATGAAGTACCTCCTGTAGGGAGGGAAGTGAGAAGGAGAGTGAGGAGGTGATGTCTACCAAGTACACCTATCTCCCTAGCCCTAGCTTGTCCCTGACACCAGGATCTGAGCCTGAGGAACTGGAGGCGGGAGGAACCACGGGTCCCAAGAGAGAAGACTCCGGGCCGCCAGGGGCTCGAACTTCACATTTCCCGGCCGGTACCTCAGACCCTCCTCCGCCCTAGGCCGGGCTCGGCCGGTACTCACGCGCAGGCCAGACAGCGGTGCAGGCCGCCCCCTGGCAGGTCGGGGTCCGGCTCGGCGTCCGGGTCGGGCTGGGGCCGTGCGGGTCCCTGCTGCCGCAGCTCGCGGTGAATCTCATCCAGGTCCGGCCGCCGCCGCTTCGCTTTCATCTGCCGGGCTAGGGAGTGCGCTCGGTGCGCGCCTGTCCGGCGGGAGCGACCCATGGCCAGAAAAAGCCCGGCAAAGGGGCCGGGAGCAAAGCAAGGAGTACACGTGTGGGCGCTTCCGGGTCGCCCAGCGACGTCAGGAGACGCCGGGGGGCGAGGGAGGCTAGGCCTGACCGCTTCCGACAGATGACGTCACTCCCTCGGCCAGCGGCTCGAGCGCCCCCAGGCGGCCGTCGACGTCAGTGACCGAGCTCAGGACGGGGCCCCAAAAGTATGCCCACTGAAGGGCATGGCCACGCAGGCCCTCGCTGGGGAGGGGCGGGTGGTGCGTGCATCTGGGGCTTTCGGGGCCGTCTTGCTGCCTTGCTCTCCCTGGCCTGGCCCAACAAGTCTCAGTGCCAACCTCTACCCCTGTCATCCCTTCCTGATTCCCAGACCTTGGACTCTGCAGTGGGGGTGGGATGCTTTATCTCTGGAAAGCACTGATAAATGTCTGTGTCGTGAATAAATCAATATATGACTGAGAGTGAATGAGTTTGGAATCCCAGCCCTAACAGGGCTTCCAGAGATATCTCCAGTCCCTGAAAAAGCCCTCACCACTTCTCCCTGGTCCCCAGTTATCTCTTGAGTCTCCATCCTCCCTCTGCCCTCAGCCAACTCTGTGAAGGGTGTTCCTCCCCAGAGACTGCAGTACTCAGGCATCCAGACTCCAGAGGGCTCAGTTCTTCTCACAAGTACTCATGGAAAGACCTCTCCATCTTTGCCTCCTTTTTCTAAGCCCTGGGCTCCCAGAGGTGGGCTGGCAGCAAAGACCCAGGTGTTGCATACTCAGAGTGGGCAGAAGCCTAGAGGGCCTTTCCCTGTTCATAGGAGCCTGGTGCCTCCCAGGCTGGCCAGAGCCAACTCAGCTGGAAGCGGCCAGAGGAGCTTAGCAATAATTCAGGGACTCCAGCTCTTTGGAATCTGTTGCCAGGAAACAAGGAGACAGGCACGTGCATCCCTGGGGAGAGGAATCAGTTTCCAGCCCAGACAAAGAAGTGAAATGTAAGTCCAAGGTGCCCACTGGGGGCCTGGGGAACTTCCACTCCAGCTCATTGAGGCAGAGTAGGGATGCCGGGTAGAGCCCTGCTGAGGATACAACTGGTATGACCATAGTCACCAGGGCTCCAGTGTGGGTCCCATTCCTCAGGATTTTGTGCATGGAAGATTTTCCTGGAGACATGCTAAGAGATGGACAACCTCAAGTATTTCTAGGCCCACAAAGAAGGCCTCCCTAGAGACAGAGAGATAGAGAAGGCCTGTCTAGAGACGTTATTCTTGGCCAATATGGGTCAAGACAAGGGGGTAAGATGGTGGAAGCCTGTTCCATCCTCCACCACCTTCCCTCCAACTCCTCTAGATCAGGTTCATTTCCTGGGCTCTGTGCCAGCTGGGGAGGCTGGTGCATCTTTAATGAAGTCACCAGATCCCTCGGACAGGCTCTTGGCCTCACCAAGTTCCTGGAGCCAGACTCACTGGTATCCATTAAGCCACCACCTTCCTGTGCCTGGATGCCGGGCCTCTTCCCCCTGCAGCCATGAACCAGGCCTTCTGGAAAACCTACAAGTCCAAAGTGCTACAGACCCTGAGTGGGGAATCTGAGGAAGACCTGGCAGATGAGGTGGGTGCCATCCATGCATGCTAGGTGGAGCATGTGCAGAGGGGCAGCAGGAATGAGTGGTATGAAGTGGGGCACAGAATAGGCTTGGAGGTGGGGGGACACATTTGTGCAGACGGCACATTCAGGGATGGTAAAGAGCACGGTGCAGCATCAGAAAGCCAGGACATTCAGGAAAACTGAGGAAGAAGAAAAGACCTGGGGACCATGGGAGGAGTGGCTGCTGTCTCCAAAGATCTCGAGGCTGCCACATGGAAGAGATTCTTCTAGGACAAGTGGGCAGTAGGCACACGAACACACTTAGCTGGACACAGCTTTCTAATGGGAGCAAAAGTGGGAGTGATGTAGTAAGTCCCCTGTTACTAGAGGCAGGGGGAGTGGCGCCTGTACTAGAAAGGCCACTGTAACAGCATCAGATCAAAGCCATACTGAGACCATGCTTTGTCCTGACATTAAAAAACAAACAGACCAGGCCGGACACGGTGGCTCATGCCTGTAATCCTAGCACTTTGGAAGGTCAAGTTGGGTGTATTGCCTAAGCTCAGGAGTTCAAGACCAGCCCGCGCAACATGTCGAAACCCCATCTCTACTAAAATACAAAAAAAGTAGCTGGGTGTGGCAGCATGCACCTGTAATCCCAGCTACTTGGAAGAATCACTTGAACCTGGGAGGCAGATGTTGCAGTGAGCCCAGATTGTGCCACTGCACTCCAGCCTGGGTGACAGAGCAAA